ACCATTTTATAGAGAGATAATCTGCATGAACACAATAGGACAGTGTGATATTAGATGTTTAAATCTGTATGCACATGGGATACCATAATGTCTTTTTGAAAAACCTTATAGTCATCTTCCCTGTCAACAGGATTGGATTTGGGATCACCTAGGAGACTAAACTCTGGTATGCCTGTGAGGATATTGCCAAGGAGGTTTTGACTGAGGAGGGAAAACCCATTCACCATGTGTGTGGTAGCATCCTGGGGTCCCAGCATGAGTAAAAAAGGAAAAAGCTAGTTGAGTATCAGCATGCATCTTCCCCAGCTTCATGACCACAGCGCCAACATCACCCGCTGCCTCATACTCTTGCCACCACAGCTGGAGCCACTCCACACGTGCTTTCCAAATCACGACAAACTGCGAGTCAAATTTCTCCTCCTCTCAGTTGCTTTTGTCACGTATATTATTGTCATGGATATTGGGAACTGACATTTCTTCAAAAAGAAAATAACACCTGAAGCCAGGGGTGGTGCAGAAGAAGCCAGTCTGAGACAATGTGTGGCTCCCAAGGTCCCTATCACTTTGGCAGCTATGGAAGACCACAAGCATGGCTTGAAGTATGAAACATGCAGTTTTCATGACTGGGCTCACAAGCCAACAAATCTACTATGTTTTAAATAATTAAAGCCTCTCTGCTCCTCTGTGGCAGCCATGGGTTGAGTGTTCTACATCCCTTTGCAGTTACTGTCTAGCATGGTGAACAGCACGGAGTCCACTTGGTGAATGAGAACATTGTAACGGTTGGGACTGTACCAACCAAGTGGGAAGACTAGAAAAGGAGGAGGTCACAGAGAGTTGGGAAAAAACCTTGGAGGACTTTGTAGGTTGTCCTGGGCCCTTTGGAGATTGCAGTACAATGAGAAACTTTGCATGGTTTTAGAAGGGGATACACAATCATTTAATTTATGTATTTGAATTATCATTGTGCTCCATAGAAAATGATCTATAAAAGGAAGGCAAGGGCAGTTTGTTACTGCAACTGTCTTAGCTGGAGATGATGATGAGCCTTTGTTTGGTTACCATAAAAGGGATATGAGCGAGAGAGAGAGAGAGAGAGAGAGAGAGAGAGAGAGAGAGAGAGAGAG